CGAAAATTACAATAGGGCTCGTTCATTCCGACCAAAGCCTGAAAACTTTTACCCGAGACAAGGTGACGCCTGAATGTTCGACTCAAATGGGGCCATTTTGGTAGAATTTAGAAGGGATGGGCCACAGTCTCAACAGTGTTCGAACCATCCGTGTTTAATTTAATAAAATAAAGAAAAGGAAAAATCGGGACCGAACAAAACTTTCGACTTATCCGATGTATTCGATCAAGCGCATTTGACATGGGTGAGTTTTATTGTCCCAATGTTATCGCAGACTTAGATCCATGGCGTCATCTCCGTCTTCTTCTACAAGACGGTATGGCATTCATCATCATCATCAGGCGGTGGTCGGGTAGCGCTGTGGTAACACACTCGTCTTTTTTCTTGCCGTCGGGGGTTCGATTCCCTGAAAGGATTTGTGTTTCCTCAAACAGAGAGACTCCTTTACAACAAGAATGTTTAGTATAGAAATAGATGAAACTGTGTACGGAGCGAGTATACAAAATATTGACTACAAAAAAGAAAGGAATTTGAGGAGGGAAGGTATTTTAGAACAAAAATATAGTTTAGTTTGGCTGCTGCCGTTAGTATAGGTCAATATTTTATTAAAAATATTATTAAAACCCCCTTGATTAAATAAGTCTATCCATCTGAAATTTAGATATAAGTAACCTTTTTTCAAATGTTTAACTTTTTCTGAAGTTCAATTGGCAGGATTTAACTGAACAAGTAAAATAATCTTGAGTCCAAGATGGTCAAAAGCAAAAGATATCATTTTGCGGGTAATCCGAGGTAGCCTTCATCTTTCAAAAGAATTCATAGTATCCACTATTTTTAGAATATTTCATCTACTATGAAAAAAAAAGGATAATGTCCTTCTAAAATAATCTCAGAACCGTGCACCTTTAAAACATTTTACCGTGTTTATCATAACTTATACTTGTGCATGTGAGTAGTATCCCTGTAAAATAATTAAATGACATACCAACAAGAACTACGCGACCTTTGGTGGGAAAATGTGGGTCAAAATCCAGATAGCAAAGCTATTATGCGACTGCATGTTGAATGCATAATGTCCTTTGGAAATTTTAACATGATACATGTGTTTACTGAAATCCGCTAGATCCGTCGAGCTATGTCAAATTAAAGGCGCTCGAAAAGGGAAGTAAAGACAAGATGCTATTATGGCCATGACCTCATGAGTAGCTTAGGTTATAATAACTTTTAAAGTAAAAACATCATAAGTATTAATTCCTAAGACCTGAAATAAAACTGTAATCGTCCTATATACAATTCACCAGGACATATGATATAAGTATGTAAGTATACAACACTCCCCTTATCAGTATCACCTTGAAAGTACAACACTAACATTGTACAAGCTGGTGTATGTAAATAACGACGATAATTTGTTGTAACTTCTTATACTACATATCACAGGATTTTTATGTTAAATTACATAATATTGATATAGTAATCAGTGTTTTATGGCGTCACTATTTGTGATATAGAATTATATGCAGGTCGCGTATTTACCTATTTTGCAGTTTTTTAGCCAGCCATTATCAAAAAAAGGGCTTTTCAGATCGTCTTGCATCCGGGATCCATCCTTCCATTCTTTCGCTGTCAAAACATTTTCACTGTCAACTTCAGGATGGCCACCTATCAGACTTTTTTTCTATGCAGTTCCGTGATCAAAAAAGCACATCTAGGGATCAAAGAAAACATACATATGGACTTTGATAAAGCTACATTTTGTATTTATCAGGAAATAGCGACAACAATTTTTCACAGGTAAAATTAATATAACGACTGTCAGCCATTTCGTTTTCTGTTTAGTCCCAAAATCAAACGGACACAACTAGGGATAAGGGATTCCTACAAACAAGATTTGAGGAGACATCAAGAACTTCTCAACACAAGTTTTTAAAGGATTGATGACGGACAGACAGGTCGATCTGATAATGGTTCCACTCATACCAAAGTTGTACGTGCAGAGCGTAGGGTTTATGAAATGACTAAATCAATACGATTCTTGATGGTACGTTGTGACCGCAAAACACAAAGCGCTATAACACACACACACACACACACATACACACCTGTACAATGGGTGGCTATCTACAGGTACTTATGGAACGTGTGTAAACACGACAAAGGAGCACGAGGTAAATAAGGACACAACAATGAGAGTGGCAGTTACTGTACATTTAACATATAGTTGCGGGAGCATATGACCACGAGGAGACAGACAATATCTACAAATCTTCACTATTGATCGCTGGAAACCAACACTGATCAAGTATGCAAATGGTTTGGTTTGTCAGATTGCTTTTGCTTGGCGTATTGTCACGTGTGTTATAGGTCAAATTCCAGATAAGCTATAGACATTGTTCGTATATTCTGTTAGATAATTTGAAGTATCTGATGAATTTTTCATGTGTTTTGTTAATGAATCTAGCACTACATATGATCCGTATTTTAACAGGTCAAGTAACTTTTACTGTGTCATATTGGTCAAACTCACGAAATACATGGACTTTGAATTTTTTAATTGCATTTTACAACTTTTGTTATACAAAGATTTATGACGAACAAAGCTGTTATGGAGTTCTGTAAAACGTGCCCAACACAGAATATTAGCTCCTTAGCGGCACCATGCACTACACGTGTGTATATTATAGTGACACCTGTTACCATGATATCAATACGATCTGTCACTAATATTTTACGGGTATATGATGGTATGATATAAATGAATAAGATCAAACTAATGTTGGCTACAAATAAAATGATTGATGTTTGATAGATGATTAAAAGGAAGCTGGACATGTTTGATGTTCGTTAATTTTCCTTTTGATTCCGTGATTGTATATCTTGTTCTCATTTTTAGAATGTGACACTACGTACTTGGGTTGACCAAGATTTACATGGCGGGTGTCGTCTATGAAACAGAAGACGCTTATTGTTCTTTTTTTCAGGGGTCTTCGTGTCTTTCTTTTGTGCGTAATTGCCTTAGTTTTATTAAGTTTGAGTTTGGATTATGATTGTGTTGATATGTTGGTATTCTCTTGTTTTTTGTTTGTGTTTTTCATCAATGTACGTTTCCATTATTACTGTATAATTTACGAACCTCGTCCATACTTTAGTGATTTTTTCATGCTGGGAACGTTAATTTGCTTGTACAACTCTCGGATATCGGATAGGGATCTGGTCATTTTTCGACTTGGGAACAGCTCTCGGTAATGCTACTATGTATGACTAATTTCCGCTATTCAGAGGGAAGATCATGAAGCAAGAGGTGCAAATGGGCCTGCATTGCTCACTTGTTTGTTACGACATTAAGTTGTGTAACATCAAAAGCAACCTGTTTAGAATTTAAACAGCTTACCTCGTGATGTTGAAAGTTTAACAAGGTTGTGCAGTTGAATAAACTTGGAAGCTATCATATCAGTATGCTACTGGTGAAATTTCAATATCTAAAGTTTTGTTTTTAGTCGGTATAGGTTGTTATAAATGTTTTCAACCCATTTAACCAGGGTGACCTTTAATGCGGGTCGACAAGGTCATTCATTGGAACAAGTAATACTGTTATCATTTTGTAAAGTGACACTATCAGCATAGCATTAAGATAGGGACTCTGGATGGATGGCAAATATAAAAGCATGAACATTGACTTCACTATATAGTACAGTATAAAGTTTCAATTGTTATGTTATGGTCCAGGAATTATTTAAGTTTTCAAAGGGAAGACTGGATGAAGTACGGGGCCTGTACCTTACATCTGTTTATTATAAGGTGTAGAATTAGGTCAAGGCCATTCATTGAAAAAAAACTTTGTAGTACTTCATCCTAGCTTGCTACAGATTCAATATCAGTACTCCGGACCGGTCAATAGGAAGAAGTCATTAGAAGATTTTCATACATTTGACCCATGTGACATTAGAAATGAGTCAAGGTCATTTATTTGAAAAAAAAAACCCAATATACTTCCAGCTAGCTACAGACCAAATTATCAGCACCCTGGGCCGTTTGGTCATTGAGAAGTTCTTTCAAGATTTTTTACTCATTTGATCCCCCGTGACCTTGAAAGTGGGTCAAGGTTATTCATATAAACAATCTTGGTGGTCCTTTCTTCCAGTGTGCTAAAGGTCCAATATCATTACGATTGGTCTTTCCCTTACTGAGAAGAAGTCATTTGACCCGTGTGACTTTGAGAGTATGACGAGGTATTTCACGTAAACAAATTTTGTAGCCCTCCATCCCAGCATGTTACAGGCCCATTATAAGTGGCCTGGGCCTTTCCGTTACTGAGAAGTTGTTTAAAGTGAAAAGTCGATGCTGGACGGACGACGGACGCCGCACCACGGCATAAGCTCACTTGGCCCTTCTCTGAAAATAAGATTGGATATCATTGTTCTTGAAATCACTTGGTGGATTGGTTTGGAACTACCACTCGGTTAAAGATCAGAGGTTAAGGAACCATATTTTCAGAAGAAACCAGGCCTCTCAGAGTGTTTTACAACTTACAACATTGCTTCATATATATTGGTTCGGAATTCGCTCGCAGTTGTCTTTATAGTAATTTATCTACTATGGTGAATTGACTTCTAGAGACGTGACACTAGGTAAATTCGGTTGAAAATTATCTCACATTCGGAGATACGAAAGTGAAAATCATCTTGCATCCAAGTATATTGAATCAACTACAAATGTGGTCTTATAACCTACGACTGATTATCATAAATGTTCTGCATTCATTCATTACATTGATTAATTACAAAGGTTCCCTTTGGTCCCATTCCACCGGAAACACTTTATCGGTAAAATCTGACAGAGTGGCATCATCCATTTAGTATCAGGTGATAAAAAGTTCCTTTCTGGTCCAATAAGAAATGACTCTAGCTTTTGGACAGATCAACTTAGTATTACCCGATATATCTTGGTAAAAAGGTTACTATTTCATATGTCTAAGATGTGTATCTTACAATTTTCCAGGTATGACCTCCATTCTTACCGACTCCAACTTGAGTCTGGCTTTCCGAAGTAATCATGACATCAGTAGGACTCGAGAAGTTGCTGATTCCCAAGACGTTCCGAACAGATTTTTCTCTCGGATAAAGCAGGATTCATTGTACAGGAAAAAGATCCTCAACACATTATGTTTATATGGATCTTTCATAGGGATGGTATTGCTATAAATTTTGTCTTGTCCATATTGAAATGATTCAGCAAAGAACATACAATACCCACACTGTTGATAGGTGAAAATTCACTTTAACTCGTAACAGATCCTATTTCCTCTTAACAGAAACAGCATATTTTAACATATTTGAGAAATGTTTACAATAAGTTAGAAGAAAGGAATACTGATCAACTTTATTTATAACTGATACCAAAACTGAAACACCAGTGTTGTAGTACTCCATGAAAACAACATATACTCCAATATACTACCTAAGTGTAGTGTCTTATTCTAGCACTTTGAAAATAGTACCTTGATCTACCACTTTGGTTAAATTTGAGAATAGTACCTATCTAGCAGATTTCTTCAGGAAACATTGAAAAATATGTATTGTAGCCTCTGTTGATTACATATTTAGCCAAACGTCTGTAATCTTTGAGTATTCCTGAAACTGTCAGTAGCAACATCGATCGCATTGCTCACACAACTGCACTTTTGTGAATAGCCTTATGCGATTGAATTCAAATATATTAAGTTTCAATAATACAATATATATATATATAATGTTTAATTGAAATAACTGAGTGTTTCATCTACTGAAATATGTTTATCATGGAATGTTTGAATCCCCCCTCCTTCCACCGTGATCTTTGTTTTGTTAATGTCGGTAATGGATTATTCAAGTTGCAAATTTTTGAGGCATTCTGCATAAATTCTTTACAAATATTGGTATCATTATTGTGACTTCATTTAGATTAACTGTCTCCGAATCTTTAATGATGTCAGATAATGACTTAGTTCTGCCCTAGAGACAAGTATACCATAACATCGTGGTAAAGACTTGCTTTAGCATGCTGAATTAAAACGAACCCTAATTATCGGCCAAAGTAGTTATCATAAATACGTTGCAGTATCAGGTAATATTGACCTTTTGTTAAAGGTTGCAATTCCTTGTGCTTCGACTATTTCTTGCTACATCTAAGGACACAACCGCGTCTCCACAATTGGTACGTTTCTCTTTCTCCTGCGATACATAAACCACCACGTGTATTAAGCGATGATCTTCATTTTAGATTCCGTGGACACCTCTCTACCAACTGAGTTTTCGCGTTTCTCTAATCTATCTCCCAGTCAGCTAAAATCAAAGTACCGGAAGTACTCTAAACGAACATTATTTTAAAGTACAATCACTTGCTAAATTAGAAATTTGATAATATGTAGTACATATAACCAATAAAGCTCATGCTCTTTTACTTAATGCTAAATATAAAGGAGAGACGTGGAAGTTAGTTTTAAAGTTATAAAATCCTCCTTTATCTGGATTATTAGCAACTTGCTAAACTAATATGTACAGTCTTTAGACTAAATATCATTCATCTTATGATGATTTGACTCTGGCGATCTTGCTTAATAATAAAATGAAATATTTGCCTATAAGATGCATTCTAGTTAAAATGGTACCTTGACCTTTGAAATGAGGACCCAGTTAACTTCTCTTTGATTTGTGTATGTACATATATGTAGTTTATGTTAATTTCCATTTGATTTCAGTTAGTTATTTAGCCGTAACACATCTATATGCTAGTTTCCACAGCAAGAAATCATTGCTCTCAATATTGCAGGAGTATGCTTTTGGGCGAATATCTTTGGCATTTTGTTTGTTGACAAGAAGTAAATTGATGATGTTGATATATTACTTAGTAGTTTAAACATTTATTGAATATTTCAAAAATATTACACATACCATCAACATATTTACCATTTGGAAAAAACTATAATCTGACCCTTGTGTCTTTGATAGTGGGCCAGGATCATTCATCTGAGCAAACTCGATAATCCTTCAATAAAACATTGCATCTGGTCAAATATCATGACCCTACTATCTGGACTATGTAGGGGTACTAGTCGTGGTACTGGCATATAGGGTCTTTAGTTTATTGAGAAAAAGTAGAAAATGTTGACGACGCAAAGACGTTGTTCTATCAACTTTAAGATACGGTATCAGTCTTTCCAGACCAATCAATATAAAAGCTGATTGTCGGAACATTTAAGACTATCTGTACATATATTTAAAGTGTTATTAATTTTGAATATCTGATCTATTGTGTACATAGATTTATAAAAACGCTGGACAAAAGGTGATCATAACAGGACCTAATAATCCACATTTCAGTTCGTATAATTAATATGTTTTTTTGTTTTGTTTTTTTTTTAATGACATCATTCTTTTATTTTCCAACAGTTTATCATCTATATCTAGTAGTATGTTTATTCAACAGACAACCCATGAGATTATAAACCATGATTTATGACTGGTGTTCAATGGATTTCGTGACCGGCTACAATATTGTGCTTAACTTATCCTTATAAAAACACCACTTGAATTCATCGGAATTTATACAGAATTAACAACCAAGTTGTCTCTATCCAGGCTTGGGACGGCTAACGATAAATTGCTATGTTTTTTCATTATGAGGATATTGCCTTGTTTACATGTCACAATCATGAAATGTCTCCACCTTACATGTACACAACAGTGATTTTCGAAAAAAAATATATATTACTGGTAAGCATCATCTTAGAACCATTCCAGTCCAGATACAACTAAATTCCATAAGAGGAATTGGAAACGAAATTTCGAACGGATATTTTTTTTGACAACTCTGACTGATTACTAGAAAGGTGACTGGTCTACAACTTAATTTGTTCTGGTAGAATATAGTTTCCATCTCATGAGTTTTGTCTGTTGAATTGTTTTAAGAATTTTACTGTCACTGATTGGGAATAATTTACTTCCTACAGCACTCAGTCTTCTCAAAATATTTAGAAGATGAAATGTTAATGTTGTTTAAAGATGGTTAACATAAAGTAAAAATTGATATGTTATTACACTTTTAAAGGGCCAAAAGAAGATACCCCTGTCTATCAATAGCTAGGAGTCGCTTTATAGGGGTGGCATGCTTATGTTTTTGTAATTCATAAACTCCAAGGAAAATATTGAAAATATCATCAATAGAGAATGGTCGGGTCCATAATAATCAAAGTAGATTCTACTTATATTTGATCATCAATGATTTGGGATGGGCGTGCCTCCAATGGACATTTTTAATTGAAATTAATGTTGCAATGAACGATGATAAGTTATTAAGTCGAATAGAGGCACGGTTCAGAAAATACACATGCACTTGACGCTATTCTAAAATCATCTGATATTTGGAAATTGTTTCAACGCCCTGTCTAGATTTGGACTTTTCATTTGATAATTTATTATTTTCCTAAATCGCCTCCTAGGCTTGAAAATTTAGGCCCTTAGCATCACTGACGAGTCATAGAAGGACGAAACAGCTGTATGATGCAGTTTAAATCATTGTTTAGCTCTACTGTATCTTACTCTAAGTTATGAAAAGGTGCTATTCACTTTTGTCTTTTGTACAATCATTGATATGATAAGTACAATAGGATTTCGAGATTAAGTTTTAATTATCAATTGGGATATCTTACTCTGATTTATATCAACCTAGACGTCGGTGCATTTCCAGAGCCCAGAATTTTATTTCACAGCTTCTACATTTTCTAGAACAACATTAACATTATGCTCATTACTTAATAGATTATATGAAATATGTAGAAAGTTTTTGCACCAGTGAGAAAAACCCGGATATATTCTTCTAGATACAGATCTAGTATCCGATCACAGACGCGACTATCAGTAAACAAATGAACATAACCGCACGAATAAGACAAAACTAATGGACAAACAAAACGGTGATAAGACATGCAAACACTGCTGTAAAAAAAGCATAGCCTGATAAGTGTTCGTTTTTATAAACACGGTGTCCGAGGGGACGCCTATTTTGAGGAATGAGTATAGGAAAGGATTTCACGTGATACCTGTTCAATTTATACGTAACAGGACAACGATGTGGAAATTGTAATATTGTTTAGACCACAAAAATACCTACCTTAAATTGCGTGAAAAATGCGAAATTTGGATATATATATGTGTATACAAGGTGTCTTTTACTCCAGCGGTTATTTTGTATGTAACACGCTAGTAATGATATGTGTATTCTGTATAAACTGTAAGCTGCGGTAATATCACGTTCTATGTGTACTTGCAAACAATAAAAAGAAAGGTAGGTGACTGCATGTTATAAAGCATTTTGTTTGAAAGAAACGTTTGAATGTCAGCCATATTTGATTTCGCCCTTGGATTGAACCAGAAGTAGTATAGAGGGAATATTAGTAAAAAAAGACTGCCCTATAAAGTAATTGCAGTTAAGCTTATTCCGGATTATAATAAGAGAACATTAATGTCCATTTTAAAATCAGTCACGTTTATTAATATATTGATATTTTTGTATGATACATCTTGATTGAGAACGTCATAATTTACCCTGTATTTTTGCTTTTGTTCCAGAGTTTTGCCAAAGGTCAAATTGGACCCTCTTTCCTGGATCTACAAGCTATCGCCGGAGTAGGACTAAAGGGTGGATCTGGTATGCTGACCACCATGTATGTGGGATACATGTCTGGTGCGGTATTAGGCGGGATGTTGTACGACAAATTCCAACGATCTCTCCTTTTAGCCTATGCCAAGTTTCTATTAGCTTGCGCGGCAATAGCGATACCCTGGTGTTCCATATACTGGTTGATGGTGGTCGCTTTCTTCTTTCTAGGAGCGACAGTAGGGGCCACTGACGCCAGTAAGTACCCTAAATAAGTAACCTTAATCACTCAGATGATATTCTGTTGCAATTTACATAATGTTTGTTATTATTTCATTAAAGCACTGGAAATGTTTAAAAATCGAATCACTTCAGACGAAATATTTGTTCTCCTATTTCTAATTTGTCAGCTTCTGGCTTTCAACCTGCCGGTGGTGTGACATCGAGTTAATAGAACATGACAATAAGATAACACAGAAACGGAATATACTCGAAAATTATTCTTTTGTAGAAATGATAACATAAATAAGATATTTGAAATATCTAATGATTTACAACAAAAGGTAGCACATTGTTTATAATCAAAATTTCGACCTTCAAACATGATACACACTATAGTCGAGCCTCATTATCTTGAACTCGAAGACCCTCTTTAATTCGAAGTATTTCGTCTGTCCCGCTAGAGTTTTCACCAAACATTCGATCTCATTTAAATCGAATACTCTGATAATCAATGTTTTCCAAAGTCATGCCGTCTTCGAAATAACGAAGTATTGTATTTACTGTATTGCAAATCTTAAAATCGGCATTTAAATATATAAACACACGCACACACACACACACACACACACACACACACACACACACACACACACATATATATATATATATATAAACTAACGTTTGACAATCAATACTCTCTAACGAGATATAACACAAATCCCGATACCGTGTTAAATCACCCCTTTTCTTTCTTTTCAGTTGGTAATGCTGAGCTACAGTTTATCTGGGGTAAAGACGGTAAACGTTTTATGCAGTGTTTACATTTTATGTATTCGTTAGGCATAGCTCTTACACCTCTGATAACGATCATATTCATGGAAGATGCCCCGAATGGGATGTCGCCGGAAAAACAGACCGTTCAAGATGATCAGAATAGTAACTCGATGTTAAATTCAACAAACAGTCTTAATTCCACCTACATATTTAACAAATCGATAGAGCTGGATTTCTTACTTCAAAGTAACATATCTTACAATGGAAGTATTAAATTTGACAGAAAACACGAATTTGTGCGAAGTACCGAGTTATATAAAGCATATATCATTGCGGGTTGTGTAGTCATGATGATGTTTGTGATGCAATTGAGTTTCTTTTGTCGTTATGATAGAAACTCAAGTATGAAACAAAAAGAGGCCGAACATGTGACAGATACTAAATCAACACTGCCATTACTAATAAAGATCCAAGCCATTCTTCACATGGCGGGAATAATAGCTCTGATTTGTGGAATAGACGAAACCCAAGTTTCATTTCTAACTACATTCTGTGTCAAAGAATTTGATTGGACGAAAACCCAGGGCTCGCTGTTAACATCTTTGACCTGTTTCGTCGTTGCGGGAGGAAGATTTCTTGCGATATTTCTGGTTGGGATAATATCCCCAATAAATCTGGTAGGGATACATTGTGTACTAACACTGCTGGTATTTATTGGAATCTATGTGTGTACATTGTATAAATCTAATCTTGGACTCTGGATAGTCATGCCAATATTCGGATATGCCAAGGCGCCGATTTGTGCGTGTATATTCACCTGGACTGATGATGTTTTCTTGAATGTCACTGGTAAAATTTCATCAATTTTTTTCATCGTTATCACAACTAGTATGGCGGTCAATCCTTTAATACTTGGTTTTCTGATGGATAATTTTTCCAATATATGGTTTTGCTACCTCTTTCTCGGCGAAAGTGTACTGCTCGTGTTGTTGTTTGGCTCCGCCTTGTTGCTTACAAGACGCGTAAAACAGGTTTACGGCTGCAAGCACGACCACAAAACTGAAGTGAAAATAGCTGAAAACCTCTTAAACCAAAATCAGAAGGCAGCAAATCTATAATTTGATGTTATGTTCAGAGACTTGTCCTATGAAGGAAATTCCATTTTGGATATCTTTCCATTGTGTTGACATGATCAATTTTACTTTGATACAATATTATTGATTGAATTCGTATGATTTGGTGTTTTCTCCATACATGTTCAATCTGGAAATAATGTCCGGCACACATAAATGGCAATAGTTTCGGCTGTTTACAACAAGATAAAGTTACACTGACCATCATACAAACTGCTTAGATAGGTTTCAGGAAATGACTTATATAGTCAGGGAACGAACTAATACATGAACATGTGTAGTAGATCAACAACGACAGAATACCTCTGGCCACTGGTCAATACATAGTTGTTCACGGTAAATGTCAGTACTAAATTAACACAGGCAGATACATTGTGATGAAACATCTGACTTATGTCTAGCACAATTTTGAATAATTTTGTCTTACATATTAACTTGTAATAGTTCATGACGAGTTATAGTTCACGCTTCATACCAGACTATGCAACGATATGTGAACCAGGAGGCTTACCCACAAACACACAGTCTGGGAATGGACGAGAGAACATGAGCGTGCATTCACTCAACTGAAAGAGATATAATCCGTGAAGACAACAGTAGCATACTTCGACCCCGCTAAAGACACGAAAGTAATAGTAGATGCAAGCCCGGTAGGTCTTGGTGCAGCCTTAACACAATCACAAAGTGGTGGTCTACGCGAGCCGTGCCCTCACAGACGTGGAAAGAAGATACAGTCAAACAGAGCGAGAAGCACTTGGTGTTGTTCGGGCATGTGAGCATCTGAATGCTTACCTATGTGGAGCACCTGAGTTTACAGTAATAACAGATAAGCCCCTGGAAAAAATTGGGAAACCCCTAAACCAACTCTACGAATCGAAAGATGGGGATTTTGCCTACAGCCGTATGAACTGAAAATGAAATACTGACCTGGTGAAGAAAACACAGCTGACTTCCTCTCATGACATCCACGTGAAGGAACTGTCTGTTCTATTCGCGAGGAAAAGGTTGCTGAATACTATGTCAACTTTATAGCTGAAACATCCGTCCCCAAGGCAATGACAATAGATGAAATAAAAGCAGCAACTGTGAAAGACGAGACACTCATGAAAGCAATCGAGCTGACCAGGAACGGTCAATGGTACACTAACAAAGATCTCTCTGAAGTGACTGACAATGATGAAGTGGAACTGAGTGCACTGAGGAGTGTACGCGATGAACTTACCGTTCACACTGACAATGTGTTGTTACGAGGATCTAGAATAGTTATACCCAGTGAATTAAGAGACAGAGCTGTCAAAATAGCTCACGAGGGACACCAAGGGATAACTTAAACAAAATCGTTTATCCGGTCGAAAATTTGGTTTCCAAACATTAATGAAGAAGTGGAAAAGGCAACAGAGAAATGCATGGCATGTCAAGCTACTTCAAAACCAACCAAACTCTGTAAACCACTTAAGATGAGTCTTTTACTCTCCGGACCATGGGAAAGATTTAGCGCTGAATTTTGCGGACCTCTCCCTTCAGGAGACTACCTGTTCGTCATCGTCGACGAATACTCCAGGTACCCGGTAGTAGAAACTGTCAAAAGTGTCTCGTCAGCCACAACAATTCCCGTTCTGGACAAAGTGATCAGCATGTTTGGTATCCCCAAAGGTATAAAAACAGATAACGGTAGTTCATTCAACTCCAGCCAGTTTGCCAAATATGCAGAGAACATTGGATTCGATCACCGAAAGATCACTCCTTGTTGGCCCAGAGCGAATGCCCAAGCTGAAGCGTTCAACAAACCACTGATGAAAACGATTAAAGACTCTCACCTGGAACATAAAAACTGGAAACAGGAAATGTACAAATTCCTTCGACAACACAGAGCAACTCCTCACTATACCAGTGGACTAGCTCCGCATAGGTTGATGTTCTCCAGAGAGCCAAACACCAAGTTACCCGAAATCCCACAGACCAAATGTAAGCCTGAACATGTGGTGGTTGAGGAAATCTTGCACAACAAAGATAGCTTGGGGAAGTCAAAAATGAAATCACTACTGTACTGTACTATTGTAACCGGAATTGAGGTTCGAGATTAATATAATAAAAAAACCCGCCATAAAACCATGTGGTTATGTGTTGATTGAGAGTCCCAGAAATGCTACATTAGTTGTAGAAATTTTCATTTTACCAAGCCTCTGAAGAGGGAAAATGCAAGAATTTGGCGAGTTACATCAATTTCATATGCAATGAAATCGAACGTAAGATTCCATTTATCGCATGACTTGCGAGAACACTGCCAGGAGACTTTAGTCACCGAGGTTTGCCTTATTATGCATGCCATTTTTAAATTCATTCGAATAATTGCACGGTTCAGAACATGCACACGTACTTGACCTTATCATCATTTATATGACAATTACGAGAAATAGTATGGGTCTAGTGCACCTTCCCATCTAGATTTTTCCTACAATTTCCTGAGTCGCCTCATATGTTTTCAAACATCTGTATGATGTAGCATTACTGCCAAGTCCTAGAAGGACGAAACAGTTGTATGATGTAGCATCACTGACGAGTCCTAGAAGGACGAAACAGCTGTATATGTCATCGTCCCAACCATAATTCTGTAGGCCTACATTTTATCTGTTTATAAGTATGAAATAATATCCCAGTTATTCTGAACATTTCGTACATGTATTTAATGAAATAATTTCGATAATATCTAAACTAAATACTGTCTATTTATTTTTCTTAATAATTCCACGTAAAAGATTTAATTACGGATTCTCCGGATCCGAGTTCTTAATATTTGAATTTAGTCTCGCGAGAAAGGAAATGTACATATAAGCGAGAGCAGTAGTGTAGATTTCGGCAGGTCGATAATTGTTTGTATGGGGTTAGCCAGCGCAAAATACAGTTTGCGGTAAGTTTGTTAACCTTTACAACACCCTTATATTCCAATGTTTACCCGGAATCTGTTGTGTTTGGTATTTGGGCCGAATATTAAGAGATACATGTATATGCTTATAACGGCCGATGAGCACAGTTCAAGATACATATGTTATGGGTTTAGAATAACTAATATTTGTGAATTGGATTATGTATTTAGTTATTATAAGCAGAAATGGTCAGTTTATTTATCAGAAATTAAGGCTAGAATTTGCTAATGGAATTATATCAGTTAATTAGCTACGGACAGTATTATATGGTTGTAATAACAGAATATTTATGTATATTATGAGATACTAAATGAATATATGTATAGCTTAGTAATAGGAATGGGATATTTGGTTAGACATGGTTATATCATGTAATTACAGTTCTACCCCATGATGTTGGTGAGGACGATGATGATACTACTGGTACAAAAATGGTACATGTTTGTGTCCTATGTGGGCCAAGATAGCTGTTGCTAACGTACTGTGTGGGCAAGGCGGTGTATCCTGATACCATGTCCTGTGTGGGCAGTCCTGTAATCATATGAGGTCTGGTGTGGACTGTTGCTGTATACAGTCTGGAGGTAGACAGACCTATCTACTGTATATGCTGTCCTAATCATCATCATCATCATCATCACTCTTTATTCCTCAATCATGAGAGTATACAAATTAAGAAAAGAATAAGAAACTTATGCAATACAAAAGTGGTTAATACATATTTCGTTTTACGCTCTTTTGGTCATTGTTCTTTGGGGAAGGGTATATTCACCCTTACATTGAAACTGAAAACGTTACATCAGGTCTGCGGCATTGAAATATATCTGTGCCGATTTCCATAGGAAGTAAGCACTGTCTTGTGCAAATTCACAGCACACAGTTTTGTCATCAAAATCAGGACTGTCTAAGGTTCCTTTCAACAGAGTAATAACGAGTTCTTCCTCTGTCATTTGAGACATTAGCACATATGGTTGAACACCATAGTAGTTTATTACTTTGTCCATAAAGGTGTCTCTTAAGGGGAATGTCACATTGCAGTCCGTAACGAAATGCCGAATGACGTCATGGAAGGGTTTCCCGCACTTGCTGCATATTTTACCTTGTTCTGTTGGTGGGCAGGTTATAATTTTGCAAATATATAATATTATTTCCTTGTCTGTGTTTTCTGCCTTTAACATATCATAAGGCTTACTATATATCAAATGTACGTGTTTAAAACGATTAAAATCTCGATCGCAGTTCATTCTTGCTTTTAGTAGTGTGTTTTCGCGTATATCTATCGCTGCGTTTACAATGTATTTCCACTTGCGTCGTGGTGGGAAATTTCCATCCACTGCGTATTGGTTTATATATGATGTTAACTTGTACTTTTGGAGAATGTCAATTATATCTGGCACGAATCCACCCTGTTTCTTGGACCTTTCGTCGTGTTCTAAAAATTTTAAAAGTCTACGAATGAAAATTTGCTTGGTTATACTATTTGGCGGGTTACTGATGAGACAGTGTAGAAAGTTAAGTTTCCTCTTTTCAATTTCACTATTAATTCTATTAATGCCTAGAATAGTTTCACACATATCCGACCTAGAAGATTTTCTGACATTAAAAATCAGTTTGGCAGCGTAATGCTGGAATATATCTAATTGTTCTTTGTCTTTCACTGTTAGGTTATTCCACATCTCCGATCCATTTAGGACAGCTGGTAGTATTACTTTCTTATAAATGCTTACGGATGTTAGTGGTTTAGTGTGTGCACAGTCTGATCCCATGCGAGTAATTGCATGCAACATGTTCCGACCTTTTTTGCAGGCTTTTCCCACAGCATTTGAACATTTCCGGTCAGCTGATACATCAATTCCTAGGTGAACCTCTGAATTCACAATTTTGATGGTATCGCCATTCAATGTCCACGGGATGTTTGTTATACACGACTTAAAGGAAATAATAGAGCATTTCGAGGAAATGAATGTAAAATTCCATCTTTTAGCGTATTCGCCAGCTATGTTCAATAGACACTGAAGAGCTTTTGGACTAGTACTTATAAGTGCGATAGCATCAGCAAGGGATGGGTTAGCACACTTAATCGATAAGATTTTAACGCCAGCTTCCGATGTTTCCAGTTGACTAAGTAAGTCATTTATGTGTATTGAATACAAAAAAGTTGATATAACCACCCCTTGTCGCACTGACCTATTCATGCTGAACCACCTTGATTGAACATTGTTATGGACGACAGCACTAAGAATTCCTTGATAAGAGTTACACAACATCTTGAAAAGATTTCCCGTTACACCAAGCTCATACAACTTATGGAATATACCTTTATGCTGCACGGTATCAAATGCTTTGTATGTGTCTAAAAAGGCAACACAGACATTACTATTCTGTTCCAGGTTTTCATTTATACATTCCCGAAGGTTAAATGATGCCGTCATGCAGCTTTTACCTTTTTGGAACCCTTGTTGCTGTTTGTTAGGGAATTCGATATTCTCCGTTTCCATCCAGCGAATAATGCGATCACGAATAACCTTTTCCATCAGTTTGTATAGTACAGGAAGTAACGAAATTGGGCGGTAATTATTCGGGTCGTTCTTCTTTTTGTGTCCACCTTTAAATATCGGAACTATAAGTCCCATTTTCCATGTTTTCGGTATTCTTCCAGATAATCGAATGCAATTGAACAGTTCACATATTTTGTCTAACAGCCGTTTCCCGCCATATCTAATATGTTCATTTGTAATGTTATCTATACCGGGTGATTTGTTGAGCTCTAACTGTCGTACACACATGTTGATCTCGTCAAACGTAAACGGGGAGTCTAATTCGTCGACGTATATATACCGAAGTTGGAAGTCCATTTTTCTTTTTAAATCATCCCCGTACAGTTTTTCAAAGAAGTCTGCAAAAATGTTTGCAATTCCAATAGGGTCCCTACAGATAGTATCACCAAGTGTTAGTGCCGTACATATGTCTGGAGAAGGGTTCTTGCGTTTCCGTATTGTCCTCCAGAATAATCTGATATCTAATTCAGCTGTATTGTCGAGATCATTGTTGACATTGTCTATGTATGTTTTATGTGCTTTTTGATGCGTGTTCCGGAACATGTTTTTAGCCTCTTTGTAGTCTTTATATGTTTTATTTTGCATTCCGCGCGGCCTGTTTTCATTTATCCATAACTGCCTTTTATAAAGAGCAGCGTTATGTGTGCTTTCAATATCCGATGTCCAGTACGGTTTTAAATACTGTTTGAACTGACGCTTTGGAATTGTTTCGCCTGACGACAGTAACATACACAATGATATTTGTTCACATAACGCGTCTATACCAAGTTGTGTGGACAAATCGAAATCCTGAACTTTATTAAGTTTTTCCGTAAGAGCTAACTGGTACGAGATTATGTGTTCTACACTTGCTTTATTCCATGATGTATGATTTTTGTGGGTATTTTCTTTTACCCCGGAGTATGAATTACTGAAATCTAGCGAACAGACAATTGGTAAATGGTCGGATACTATTTCAATATCGCCGTCGTCTAAAATTCGGTTATATGTAATATTCGCAATCGTTGATTGGTCTGTGAATATATAATCTAGCGTCGAATGACAGGATCTGAACGTGTAGTCCTGGCCAGTTCTTGAAGAATGGTTGTTAAGAACACACAGGTTGAGATCATGAACAAGAGTTTTCACCGCGCCTGCCTTTTGTCTTGCAATAGAATACGTCGGATTGTCCAAAATTCTTGCATTGAAATCTCCCGCTATGATAAGTTTTCCTCGTTGATCATAGAACGTTAGTAGATCATGTAATACTTGTAAAGTTTCGCGATATGCATTTATGTCGCTATCACTTTGCATGTACACACCAAATATATATACGGGACTATCTGGAGTTATACCTGCGATTTCAACTGCAACTATGCGTTCGTTTGGTACATCGTCTAGTTTCCGAATGCCATATAGCAGAGACTTTTTAATTAAAAATGCGACTCCTGTCCCACATTTGAAGTTGTCGCAACAGTTTGCAAATAATGCATAGTAATTTCCATCGATACAGTCTAAATACTCGTGTGCCTTGTAGCACAATTTATGTTCTGTAATAGCCAGAACGTCACAATCTGTTTCCCGTAGCAGTTTTGCAACGCATTTGCTTGAGGAGAAAATTCCTCT